GGCTGGGCAGCTCTCGGGGAGCCGCAGTTCACCGGGGTAATCTGCCCGTCGGTGCGGGTCCGGCTGGCGAACGCCGGGCTGCCTGCGTCTGCAGAGACCTGTCCTGCTGCCACAGCATCCTTAAGCACAGTCATACCTGTTAGGAAGAATTACTTCCAGGGTTTTTTTTCTAATCATAACTCTACTGGAACAACTTAATGATGAACGCACTGGCTAAATTTAGTGCTGGCATAAGCTGGCACAGATGCACTAACTGCAGCGGGGTTGTTCCTGCTGTCGCTGGGAAGGAGTCTGGCCTGCATGTAAAAATCAAGGTTACAGGATAGAGTCGGTGCTCCTGAGAACAGACACAGCGCTGCTTTTAGTACATGCAAGTCCGTTTATGTTGCAGCCAAGGGCAACGGTTCTTCTGAGGAAAGTACTTTACAATAATACTGAAATAAGATTCCATAAAACTCGTGCTAAAGAACTGCTACAGCTGTTTTACAAACAGTGAAATTGAAGCAGAAAGAGGTGAAGTGGCACTTCCTTCAAAAGCAAGGAAAAAAAAGTCCTGATGGAGCTTGAGCTGAAGCCTCCAGATCTCGAATCCTGTATCAAATATCTGCTGTGATTCTTCCCCGGGTTTGTGCAGACCTTCACAATACTCCATAGCACAGCTACGAGCACAAATGCATTCTCAGGTTGGACCGATGGTGCTTTTAGCCCTGTAGTCTCTCTCTCTTATTAGCACAGGAGTTAATCTGAATTTCCAGAGTTCCAGTTTGGCATCTCCTGCAGCGAGAGGCAGCTGGTCCCTGTGGAAGCTCCAACAGTGGCAGCAGGAGACTGTTTTTAGTGATGGGATGCATGGCTGACCACTTTCTGCAGTCCACGTCTCTTGTAGGCTCCTGGCACCTCTCTTGGTCACTGCCATAGGACAGTAACTAATGGACTAGATGGGCCATTGGCTTGACCAAGAAGGATATTTTTTAAAGTCCTTTTTTTGTGGTATGGCTTATTTTTATCAGATCAAATGTCAGGATATGAATTACAATACTTAGTGACAAAGTATACTCTGCTGTCCTTTTCTACCAGTTTTAACACAAGTGAAACATCATCTCAAAAGCCACAGCTCTAGAACTCTTCAGATTTTCAAGCAGGTGTGTGTAGCCATGAGTTTGAGACTACTTTGCCGTCTTTATTTCTCATTTGGCTTTCTCTTTCCACCTTGTTTTAAACCTCCATTTACAAAGCATTTGAACCCAAAAGCAGAGTGTTTTTTTAAGAGGTTCTTAATGTTTACAATTTATCATCTATAAATAGACCATCTTAAGTCATCACTAAATTATCTTTAATTGGTATGATTAGAACTGCCAAGGAATATTACTGTTTGGTAGAAGAATAAATATTACAAGTGTGATTTTTATATACAGTCTGCATCGTAACAAAAATGCTAGGCGCAAACTGCAGTTTATAAACTTTAAAAAACTTGTCAGAGGGAATTTAAGGAGAAAAGTTTGTGGGTTTTGAGACAGCGAACTGAGATAAGAAAACTGAAATCTGAGTATGTGAAACAGATAAAAAATAAACCAACAATTTTTTCAGCAAGTAATATGCAAAGTTACTCAAATGTAATGTATGTTCCCTGTAACGCAGTGCATGTCTGGACTTTTTCTTCCCTGAGGCTGAGAAAGCAGCAAACAGCTCCAGAAGATGACTGTTCTAAGTAACTGCAGTTTAATCCTTCTTTATTCCAATATCTCTGATTTGCTGGGGTTTCAATATATCAACAGTATTTCAATAAATTGTATCTTGCTTTTTCTTTCTGGCATAGCAGTATCAGATACATAGGTATTTTTATTTAGACATAGTAATGCTACATTGGAAATAAGGTAAAATCAGGGATAATTGGGGGAGAGTTGTTACTAGCCCGAGGCTACTAAGTCTCTCTAAAGTGGCTGTTATCACTACGGTGCTGATCTGTGCTTCTTTGTGTTTCATGAGACAAAGTATTAATAATTTTTCACTTTCACATAATGGAGGAAATCAGCATCCAATAACAAGAACGAGAGAAGACTGAGGTAAAGAGAAAGCAGTGTGGGAAGAAGCACTGAGGGAGAAAGTATCAGAAAAAAGAACGAGATGCAACACTAAGCGTGCACACTGGGGTACAATTGCTATGACCTGGAGCAAACCAAATACACTCAGCTGCATCTCAGTAAAAATTCACCCACTAGTGGGTGCAGTAGCTGCCCTCTATTTGTGATAAATGAAACAATTGACTTCTGTTGAGGCTCCAGACAGCCAAAAAAGCAGTCTCTATCCAAAACCAGAGCCATGATAGAGCCTTCCCCTTTTACACCTTCCCCTCCATTCCCTCCACCCCAAACAGATGCAAGTAAGGGTGAAGAAAACAACATGCACAGCTCAGACAAGAAGGGAGTGTCTGGCCATGAGAAAGAACTCTTGGGGCTTAGACTGGCAGCGAGGGACTTGCAATGGGATCAAAGGCATTGCCTTTCGCTGATTGATGGTTCTGTTCAGAGGAACAGAAATTTTTAGGTATTCTTGTTTATTTTAAAAAAACCACAAAACACAGCCAAACAAAACGCTTCAAACAATAAAAAGGGTGTGTGTCAAAGAATTGTTACTCCAGAACCTACCTGTCTCCCCAACTTGTATAACCAGCAAGACCTAATTCTGCTTCCCTGGTTGCTCATTTCAAACTACTGTATTGCCTCGCATGCCAAATCTGGTTTGGCTTGGGTCTGGGTAGTTAACAGTACTGCCTTGGAATTAACCCAAGTATGCAGTATAGAGTTAGAACTGGCTTTATGCTGACATTTTGTGCTTGTTATCTGGGTACAGACAATACCTGACCGGTTACTCCTGTACTGTTTAGCTCTGAATTAGATCTTGAGTGTCATTTGCTTTAGAGTGAGGTGGTTTGCTCTGCTGATCTGGCAGTTAGTTTCACTGAGGCTCGGAGGTTTGCGTTAAATGGAAATATCCCTAGAGAAAAATGATCAAGATACTACCCAAGAGGAACATTACCAGAAAGAACCTTACAGCTGCAGCATTATTTAAAAGGACATTTCTTTAGTTTCATCAGTAGTCCGGTGTGGCTCGTTCCTGAAAGTTTTTAGCGACAGCAGCAGCCTATTGCGCTACTGTAGGTGGTGATTTTTGGAGTTCAAATGCAAGACGAAGAAGTAATGAGTTGCCTGAAGTCTGCTTATCTGCAGTGTTACCTGTGATACTCCTCATAGTGTACTTGGAATATACCACAAGCGTTTATTTTACCCTTGCCGAAGCTCTGCAAGGTAGAGAACTGCTGGTGCCATTTTTTTGACATGGAAAATTCCAGGTTAAGGGTTAGATGACTTGCCGAATCATGCTGGGAGTTTCTGGCAGAAAAAGAACAGGACCCAAATTCCTAAACTGCAGACTGGTGTTTCAAACATATCCCGTATCTATTTTGTGGATGCGCTGCTGATATATACATCTTAGTTTTTTTTGATAGAGATCTGTGATTTTAAAACATCGGATATTCACACACTCACTAAACATGAAGGAAAGAAAGGTCACCACAACTGTTCAGTGTTGAGAACGCAGCATCCATGCAGCCAGTCTGATGCTCAGTAGCTAAATGAGGGCTCAGGTCCTTGCGTGGACTCGGTGTGTTACCTCAGGCTGCGTGAATCCTCCAGCTATTGCTTCTCCAGTGCCATTCATAAAGGGCTCATGCATTTTCTCTAATTTCTGACCTCCTTTTCCCTGTCCCCCCTCCCAAATGTCCCTGCAAATGCTGTGCCCTTTTTGCTTTGAAAACCGTACTTTCTGTTTAGGCAGAAAATGTGTTGTCTTATTTCTGAAGTTCTGTTACACCCTGAGACATGATACGTTATAAAAACAATTCATCTCCATTAAAATAATAGATCTATTATGTTTTGTAGAATTAAGAGTTGGAGGGGGTCCTTATTAAATATTATGGATATGATTTTTTGCACTGTACAGGTATTGCCTATCCTGTACTCGTTCCTAGTTTGATAATAAGACAAAGATTTTAGTCAGTTATAACCGAAATGGGAAGGAGCACAGGGAAAGCTTGCTTTGTGGCAGGTGTCAGCAAGCTACCACCACTGGGGCGCAAAGACACCATGCCGGCGGGTTTTGAATGGCAAGTGAGAGGTGGCACAGGGCCAAGAGCCATGGCATATCGAAAGAGGCATCTGTGAGAGGCTCGGGATCCCAATTCCTGGCTGTTGTGGTGCTCCGACCTCAGTGGCAGCTGGGAGCCTCTGCCTTGGACAGCGGCTTGATGCTGTCAACAAGGTGATTGGCAGTGTCTCTCTCCTTTTAGACTCAGCAGCCTCTAGGTCCTGCTGAGTTGGTACCAGCATGCCCACCATCTAATCTCAGAAATAAAAGTACAATCTGGCATGCCACTCGTAAAAGGTACCTGACCCTTTGCAGTGCTGACAACATGGAAGAGAACACCGAGATCCCTTAAATTAACCCCATATTCAGTAGCCGTGTATGACTAAAAATTACATATCTGTTCTGTACATCACTTCAACTCATACTATGCCTTCAGTATCTCAAACAGTTGTTGGAATTTTAACTAATATGTATAAAGCAACTCAAAAAGCACTGTGGACAGGTATTACTCATCTGAATAGAACTGGCTATGCTTTGCAGAAGTGTTGTTTCAAAAAAGGACATTCAGAAATAAGTAGTTACATTCCACTCAGTACCATCAGATTTGTACTTACGTCAAGCAAGCAGGCAGAATTTGCATGATAGTTCTTGATCACTCTTCAGAAATCTATGTATTTATTTAATTTCAAGCCTGCTACTTTCATTTCTTATACATTATTTCCATGAACACTGAATGATCAATAAGTACATCATAGCTTTACTGGGGTATGGATATGTAGTTTAAGAGTGGAGAATAAAATAATGTTCCTACCATGAACCAATACAGTATGAAAGACAGATGTGCGAGGACGGACTCCTTTTATTGATACAAATTTCACCTCCGTTTAGAGAGTTTGCGTATTGCCAGTTTAGCTAGACCAGCAAAACCATCTTACACTTAGTGTGAAAGCCACTTCTGAAATGACAAATAAAAATATCCCATTTTGACTGGTCTGTTATCCCAAGTATAACAAGGATCCCAAAGGATCCTGGAGCATATTATATAAACATGCACACAGAGAACTTTACAAAATTATGCACTGCAGAAAGATTTCTCATCTTCTCGAAAGCACACAGAAGATTAAGGGAAGCAGAATATCTTGTATAGACAAATTGGATATGTCAGTTTGAGTGTTTCAACTGCTGCAGAAAATGTCAAGTGATTTGTAATGATCACTTTCTTTTTATTGCCTCTATAACCTGGCGCCTTTATCTTTTAGGAGAATGACAGGATAGATATCTGGTATTCAGAAGTAACAGAATGAACCTCCAACACAGCCAGTTTGTGTAACTTTTTCCTTTGGTGTGTATGTAGGGTTCCCAACACAAGAACTGACACCAGCCTAACTTTAAAAATAAAAAAAAAAGAGTGAAAAGATGACAAAACAGGGCTTAAGAAGGCATGAATGTGGCGCTCTGTGGTGGAGTGTAGAAGACAATTGCACCAATTACATGCTGGTTTTGGAACTCCATGTAGCCTAAGTCTATTGAAATATATATTTGTAAGTGGGAGTGTTGGGGAGGGAGGATGCACTGGAATGAGGCCTGGAGCCGAAATGCTGTTGTAAAGGCAGCAGGAGGAGGGAGGGCTACAAACCGGCTTTGATCCTCAAATTTAAAAAAAGGTCCGGAAACATTTTAATGCCAAATTATGTGACACCTTTCATTCCTGTTTTTCTTTTGTCCTTAGTTTTCCATTTCATTGATTCAAACTTTTCCTATTTATGCTAACAATTGTGGAAGCTGGGTTGACTAAAGGCATTTTTATTTTGCTATATTCTAGCCTGACAGACTCCTGCTTATGCAACAGCTTATACCTTCAGCAACACCAGTGTAACTGCATCAGTCCTAAAAAGAAAAAAAAAAAAATTATTTCATAGCATCAACGAGGCCTGAGAGAACTTGCTGCAGTGCTGGGATGTGACAGGAGGCAATTTATAAGGTATCAACTCTGACAGTCACTTTATACAGCTGATTTTCAAAGATCCAGGCACTAAAGATGTGTTAACGAGGGTACTGAGGCTTCATAATTAATTATATTAGCATCTCTTTGTTACTCTCTACAACAGTAGTGCCTGGTTGACATTTCAATAGGAGTCTGGTAGTATTCTTTGTTATTATCATCCAGGAGTACAGTTATACCTTAGCTCCCAGAGGGCAACGTTGCATGTAAATGCCTCTGTGAATTGCAAGGGCCTTTGGATCTCAGTAAAAGCCCTTGAAGGAGACCCTGCTGGATACTGAATGGATGTCAGGAAAATTTCTCTAGTCTGGAGTCTCTCTTCAGATATGGACTCTCCTCCCCTTTCATTTCTCCCTTCCCTCCCCCCTTCCCTTCCACTGTGCTGGTCCTTCCCACAAGGCTTAAGAACAGCAACATCCAGCATGTTCTGAATGTTTAGTTCCAAACCTCTAAAGCAAGGAATACTGACCTGAACGAAACAGTGAACAAAGTAACCTGAAAACAGGGAATATTTCCACATGCTTGAATTTTCAGTGCAATAAAACCAGTGCTGCCAGAAGGAATCCCAGAAGTGGTGAGTCAGATAATAGATGTACGACTGTGGTGGGAGGGAAATGGTCTCTACTTGGTTTTACATCCCCCCCCTGCTTTGTAAAGGCAGATGAAACTATTTTCCAGTCATAGCACTGCAAAAACAAGCATGGAGTTTATAGGTTACTTCCTTTGTGTGTTTCTGAGAGATGTTATTTTTGAATCTGAAAGGGGAAGGATGACTTTTTGTCAATGATCTCAAATTCTACTCTGAAAACTTTTACAATATCACCTGAGGTGGCAGATGTGCTAGTTTGTTTATTGATATACTCCACTTGCTTCTGTTAATCTAAACAAAACTTACAAAAAAAAAAGCTGTTTTTTTCACAGCAGTTACAATTGCAACCGTGTCCTGGTTAGGCTAAGTTAAGGGCACAGTTTGACAAACACCTCTTCTAAGTAAGTAAGACTTACACAACGCGTTCCTTACCCTTTCCATGTTCATTCCTGCCTTCAGGGGACCCTCTTTCTTCTAACATTGTTCATGCATCTGCACCAGGGAACCAGAGCAGAGTACTAGTCTGAGTTAAAAATAAGTGGTTTTTTTTATGGGAACTATTTCTAATTGAAATCAGTTTCCTGATTCAATTTAACACGGGGCTACACAAAAAAAACTGCACTGGCACGATTCATGGCCAGCATGAAGGGGAAGAGGGGAGGAATGTGTGGTGGGGAATGCGTAAGTAGGAACTTCTACCAAAAAATAGTTTGTCAAACTATGTCCTGAAAGACTTTACATTTCTCCAAGCCAGAAGCACCTCTCTGCTTCGTATTCAGATAGCACCTTGTGCAAGGGGATCACAGTCACAGAACTCTCAGGACTCTCAGAGCTATTGTAATACCAAAAAATAATAAGCGTTCCTACAGACTGACACAATTAACCAAATTCCACTTGCAGATCTTCATTGTTGGCAACTCGTGGAGCATTTTATGTAGCCAAAGTTGGAGACTAGTTCTATTCCCGAGTTCTGTCTCCAGCTCTAATGAGGAATAACTCTGAATAAGCTGGCATTCAGTTAACCTACCAATGAAAGAATTACTTTCCTCACAGAACTTTTTATATTTAACTAGATTTTTTTTAATGAGCTTTGACATTCTCAGATGAAAATAATAACGTGTACAATGTATTATTATAGAAAAAACTGTATATGACAGATCCCTATGTATTTTCCTCTTTTTTGTTTCACCTTTTCTGTCACTATACTCCTACACAAGACTCAAGACACACTGCAAATGTCTGAATAATGCCAACTTGAAACTACAGAATTGTAAGTAACATACTCGCTCTTCACTAAGCAATGTTGCATGTGTTTATTTTAATCTGATATTTTCTGGATAGAAACAGAGGTTACTCCCCCTGAGAGCTCAAACATCGCTAGTGCTCTACCTAACAAGGGAAGTTTTTAATGATTCCCACAAAAACAGCTGCCACTTGGTAAGAAGACAAGGGATGGACTACACATAGTGTAAAATTCCGGTGTCTACTGCTGTTCTCGAGGGTCCAAATCTTGAAGTGTTACTCAACTTTGTTCAGGATTCAGCAAGAGTTTTTCTGCTGTAGGACTGAGGAAATGATAAGTAAGTTTCAGGAATTGGCCAGAGTTAAAATCCTGGAAAGCAAACATTTACAAATTGTCTTCGAAGAAATGCTGGCTCCCTCTTAATTGTCCCATGAGTGGAGAAGAGGGAGAGGATCATCTGAAAGTCTCCTTGCAGGAGAACCCACAGAAGCACAAAGTGTAGTTTTTCCTAGTCCTCAACAGTGCTCTACCGCTACTGCTTAGTTATCTTAAAAATTCAATTCAGCATTCATTTACACTTCTAAAGCTGTAACTTCCATTAATTTTTATCCACATCTATTGTGTCTCATTAGAAGGACTCTATCTAGCACTAGAGCTTCTGCCCTAGCTGTGAGGAAATTAGAGCCTTTCTTCAGACAGAGCACTGCTGAAGGAAATCAAAGACTAGTGACTACTTCCCCTGTGAATTCTTTTAGGGCCGTCTACATAAAAATTTGGTTGGCACAGCTCTTCCAGAATAACTCCCAGTATAAATACTGCAGTATTCCAGTTTGAAAGTGTCTTTATTTGTGATTGATCATTCTACCTAGGAGTACTTCTTGTAAGTGGTCAGTTTTTCCAACAACTTCTGTTTAGAGCTTTCATTATGCAGGAGTGTATGTAGTAAAATAAAGCCTCAAACATAAACACAAAGCCAACCACATCATATATAATTTAATCACCAGATTATTTCAAATAAGCATCTTGTTTTTCAGACATTTTATGTGAAACTGTAGTTGCATTAAGCTTGGTTGAAGTCTTCTGTTGCCTCAGTGCACAATGGATTTGCTCCGATACTGCCCTGCAAAACTAGTAACTGTGTGTCCCTGCAGATAGCTTTTGAACGTCCACTGCTGTGAATGCATCAATGAAATCTAAATATCTGCCCTTGTAACACCCTGCAGGTGTTGCAGATAGTGAAGAGACATATTTGCATATGCCAATACATGTTTTCAGACAAAACTTTGGTACATTTCAGATCCTATCTTGGACTGGGAACTCCTCAGGCAAGAGGAGGTGGATATTCACATCTGGAAATGGTAGTAGCACATCTGGACAAGCTGATATTTAAACATTTTGGCTTTTAGAAACTGCAGTTCAGTAGTTCTGGATTTATAACAGCATCTATATATGTGTCTGTTGGCACAGTCGATCAGTAGTTAACAGCCACAGGGCTCCATCTAAGCCAAGGAACAGGACAACGTCAATGTCTGAGATATAAAATCTGAATGAAAATCAAGAAAGGCAGGAAACCGCTCCAGTCAAATGGCTCTTTGGGCAGGGACCCTTAGTTTCACAATGCAGAACATAACTTCAAGAGAATTTTCCAATGAACAACTTCCCCTAATATTCTGGAAGGCACAGACTAGTTCAGTCCCCTACAAAATTCACAACTGTACATATGTGAAAAATATGAGCAAAATGTTCTTAAGCACCCACATATCTGAAAAGCTTATGTCTCATGTTCAGAAGTGTCTTAGATTTCATTGACTTTGAATTTAAGATTTTTAAGAATACTTTGACTGCCTTTTTGTCTCTAGTATCTGGGAATGAGCACAAGTGTTACAGGACCATCCAGCTCTTCAGAGATTACAAGCAAGTGCTCTGGTAAGTTAAAAATGTTGGTACAGGAAAAAAAAAAATCAGATTTAGCAACTATGTCTAATGGGAACTTTACCAAAAATATTTTTTTTAAAAATCCAAATAGAATCACTGGATTTATTCAACTACATACTATTAGTCACTCCCTGTCGTCTGTGTTACTGAACCACCATCCTGCTTCAAAGGCAGTTATCAGCCCAGAAGTATTTTCATCCGAGGGTTTAAACTGCAACAACTGTGAGGACACGTGGAAGATTCTTCCATCATTATCTAACCATTCAGTTCTAATGTGAGTGCTCGACTGAGAAGGTCTGTGACTAGTGGAGATGGATAAACACTTGGAGGGGAGGCATTTGACTGTTTAATGTATGTGCCAAACTGTCTTTCTAGGGTCATGGAGACTCGGCAGATCCTGGGGGCTGTCAAACTGATTACACGCAGCAAACCAGCCGGTGTGTCTCTGCCTGCTGCTTAGAGTAAGCACTGATACGCCAGTCAGACTTTACTATCAAGTACAAGCTTATGTGTGCTGGAGATGTTGTGCAGCCTTCAACTCGCTGGTGTACTCAGGAATTTAAAAGCTTTCATATACTCTAAAAAATTTTGTCTTGTACTCAAAGGGGGAATCTTTGTTCCTAATACACAGTCAAAGTCTGCAAGTTCTTTGTGGAAGAGCAGGCTGCCAGCATAGATATACAATTGTTAAGCAGCTGGTTGCATTTCAGCAGTGGTAAAATGATCCTTGTTTTATATTTCTCTACAATACTTTCTGTAAAGGCTGTGAGATTCTTTGGGATGAAAGGCTATAAAAACGTAAGTTGCTATTAATTATATTGACTTGCATGATTTTATGTATGCCCATTTTGCATTGCAGAAATACTTAGAAGGAAATGTACTCTTCTTTTTTTTTCACACATCATCGCATTGTATTTGAGAGGATTTAGCACATTTTCTGATTTCACTTGCCAAATCAGGGGTTCGTGTTTAAAATTTACAGCTGACTTGACATTCCAGAAACTAAGGATGATTACCAATTATGTCTCTGTCTTGTAGTAACGTACCTAACTAAGGACAGAAATATTGGGAGATCTGAACTTTTACATCAAGTAGCAAATATGAGATTATCTTTACAAAGAAGCTCTGTTTGTTCAGTTCTTGAGAAAAACGTGCAGTTACTGCTACGCTCTATGTAAACTGTAAGGCCATTAATCATTATCAGCTGCTGCCAAACTTCCCATATATACCAAATATACATAAAGGAAAATTTACACAAATTTTCTTCATTCATCTGATAAAGTCATTGCCATCCAAAGACTGCTAAGATCTAACTTCCTTATGTGTCAATACCAGAGTACTCATGCACTGAGTTCAAATGATGCCACATACAGTATAGTTTTGTAACTTGAACTGTGCACCCTGAAGTTCAAACAAAAGCAGGAATACTAGCTCTGTAATACGGAGGGAAAAGTGCTATTTGTGATATAGACAGCATAGCTACTTCGACAGTACAGGTCAAGAAAAAAATGTTACTGTTCTATTATATTTGAAGTAATCAGAGCTGAGAAACGTCTTACAAGAACATCATCTTCTCTAAACACATTCACACACCCCCTATATCACAGGACTATAACCGTACATTTAAACCCCTAAACAGTCATTCAAGGACTAAAAGTGCCTTAGATGTTAGTTACAGATAATGAAAAACATTAGAAAGAAGTGAAGGGAGGTAACTAGGTACTTATCAATTAAACCTCTAAGTATTTATTATTTTTTGTTATAGTATCACGGATACTAAACACAGCTACATACTAGGTCTAAGCATCATATGTCATTTTGGAAAATCTTGTGTAACAGCAGGCAACTGGTGTAACAACAAGGCTTTATACCAGCTAGATGCCACTTTCCTTTGTAATGAAACTACATGGGGTTTCAGTACCTACACAGAGGAAGTTTCAGCCTGAGCCGAGAGTTGTGCTGCTACCTGCTTCTTCACAAATATTTGAGTCATGTTCCTCCTGAGCGTACATGTTAACACTGCAGCAAGAACAAACAGTAAATCAATTCAGCTGCAAAAGCCACTGGGTACTCTCCTCTCATTCTTCCTAGGGCTCAACAACTACTCTTAACTCTGTGGCTTAGTTTTACTTCTTCATTTTTCTATAAAGCAAGAAGGAGAGTGCAGAGAGGGCATTATAATGTGAATTGTCAAATTCTTTGAGCCAAGCCCCAGAAGCATGTAAGCACCTGTTGTTTTGAGACCTTTTATGAAATGTATCCAGAAGTTAAGACCGCGGCTGAACTGTATAAGCAAGGCTCTCTTTTGAAAAGCAGAAAATATAGGCTGTTAAAGCAATAGTACCTGGTCAGTTGGAGTGAAAGGATGTATAACTGGAGAAGAAGTGCTGATGTTAACGTAACTTTTCTAGCAGGAAGAGAACTGAGGAAGAGTTAGGATAAAACGTTTATTAGGTAGCTGGGAACAGCACATCACCAGCACTAAATTGAAGAAAGCAAGCAAAAAATGAAAGTAACTGTGAAAGAACACTACTTCCTCCCCCAAAAATTGAACTCACTGCTTTCTGTTTTCTCATGAAAGCATACGTTGGTATTTTGTGTTTCAAAATTAACTACATTTTGAAAGTGTTTCTTTTAATATTAATATATATAATTAATATATACTCTTTTTTTGGTAATAGGTAGTTTTAGGGTAGGATGGACAGATTGTGAAAACATTTTTAACAGGACAGCAGTTAAAACTAATGATTACTTGACTTTAGATACATCAGTGGATCACCTTGATCATGTATTTCAGGAATACCTAGTAATTCACAGACTAAACAAGGGATTCTAGTAGGGAGCAGGCACACACCACTTAGACCATCATGTTCCTGCTTGGCACTAACTTTCAAACCTACGGCCTGTATTTTTGTATTATAGACCTTCAAAGGCTAATCTAGAGAAAGACAATATAATAGTAAATTACACATGAGGAAAGAGGAAAAAAACACAAAAACACAAGCAGATACAACCGCATAGTAAAGAGACTCAAGGGAAACAGCAGGAAGAAAACCAAGCCACGCACATGAGCCTACCTTGACTGAATGTGAAGATGCCCACAGTAATTGATCTTGGGAGATGCAGACAGAGTATGGGAGAAGTTAACCTCTCTGTGATGGGCTTCAGGAAGGCCTTGAGACATCCTTCTTGGGAAGGATTTGAAAATCTTGCATTTATAAAGTTGTGATGCTTTGCTTACCTGTTGTGCCCAGCAGTTAAGAGAGCTCGTTGGTGTATGTGAAAGCAGAGGACTAACGGGTGGCAGCTCCTCTCTCCTGCTGTTTGCGTGGGGAAGCACAATACAAACTGTGGACATGTGGCAGCACTTGTGGGTGGCAATGGAAGCAAGGACATAGCACGTGGGAAGCGACAGCTGGGAATACAAAAGAAAAAGCAATTGGGATTTGAAAGCAACAGGTGGGAGCAGGAATCAGAAAACTATAGTAAGACCTCTGAGGAGGCAGGAACTAATCCAGGCCATGTTGGAAGGGCAGCTTGAAGATGAGAGAAAAAAGGAGACAAGGAGGGAGAGTGCGAGACTATTGTGTGACTGGAAAGCAAACCACAAAAGGCAAGTTCCTATTTCATCAAAGCTGTACTTGTTTCTTAGCCTGACCCATATCATAATATTCATCTGTGAGTTACACGCTGTGTGTTATGACAGAAGAGAGTGGCTCAGCTGTTACTTTAAGAGTGAAACAGAGCTAGCTGTAGCTGTGAAGCTTCAATGAGCTCTTCCATGACAGGTGGACAGGAAATGGACAAAAAGGGTTATTTAAAGTCTGCTCGCTCTCGGTGCAGTGGCAGGTGTGCTGGCAGGCGACTGGGCTCCATGACCTTCTAGAGTTGTGCTCCCGCATTAACCAAGCGGGCTGGATGTGACTGACGGGGCCTCTGTGCCCTTAAACTGTAGCGTCTGGAGCTACAGCTTTGGGTCATGTTCCAGCTAAGGGCAGCAGCGCGGTGAGCTGGGGGTCGCCACATCCCCAGAGCAAGGCAGGGCCAAACGCGACCTCGCCTCCCGCAGCCTCTCCAGGCCGGGGCTGCTCCACCTCAGGCCGCGAGGCTACTCGTGACGGCAGGCCCCGGGGGGAGACTCGGGGGTGCGGG